TTAATGTTGTGTACTCCCCCACCCGGTAACCAGCTGGGCTGCAAATGTGAGGCATTAAGGTGTGACTGCTCTTTCTGGACAAGAACCATCAGGTACAAACAGTGTTTCAGCTTCTATTTTTTTCTCAGTACCTTTTTTACCACATACTTTTGATTTTCAGTAACATATTGTAGACTGAATGCATTGGTATTGTATGTGTGTGTGTTGTGTTTGCATACCCCACAGGGCTCTCCTATGTTGCCCTTGATTGTCATTTAGTTGTTTATCATATTTACATTATTTCCAAGTCCTTAAATCGAAAGTGAAAATCTGAATTATCGACCTGTACAGTATGTGTATATACAGTATGAAGGAATGTTATAATGACACTCACCAGGAGAGGCTGTGTATATATTGTACAGTAATAATTGTTTAGGTCAGGGATTAAAACAGTGTCACAACAGTGATCCCCTTTTTCATCTGTTATTCTTCTACATTCTTTCACCATTCTCCTTACTTCATGCTACTTTCTCTGTACTCATCTCTTCTTTTGTCACTTTCTTGCAACATAAGTGTTCATATGCCCTTCTCTTCTCCTCAAAGAGCTCAACCAGCCTTTAATTGAACCATTTCCCCCTTTGCTTCCGCTTACTATTATCGTGAACTCCCATCCCTCCCAGTTCTACATCCTCCACGGGACAACTTATACCTTACAGAGCATTATGTACATTTTTCACAGTTAAGGTTTAAGTCATAAAGCCCTTCCTGATCTAATATACCTATATCCAACACCTTCAAATATTAAGTCTCAAGACTACGTTTTCTTTAAAACTCGCACACACATTTAAAACAAGTATCCCTCCAATGCATGGGCTAGTTGTAACCTTCTTGCATGGAAGAGCCATGCTGTATCTAGTTTTCTTCAGATAGATTTTTGAGCAACAGGTTCATTTTTTGGTATTAAACTAATAACCTGTATATTACACATACAATTGATCGTTTTTTTCATATGAAACAAGAAAAGTGAAAAAAAGAAGAAATAATTCTGATGATGTGAAGTAATACATTAAAGTTTTCGATACAATCAATTTGTATTTTAGACAACAAACCACCAAGTAAGGACAATAAATATTAGATAACATAAGTGTTCATTTATATACAGTGGGGTATGTTATAACGAACGGATCCTACTACGAATATTCCTATAACGAACGTTTTTACCTATAAAATTAAGAATGCTATAACAACCGCAACTCCTACAACGACAGCGGATGAATACGGGACTATTTCGCCTGGCGCATGAATATTGTTGTACCGCGACCCACAACAAGAGCGTCAGGCGCCATCTTTGTCTCATTGTGTAGCCAGTGCACCACTGTTATTGTTGAAATTTCGTCTTTTGATGTGGAAATAGAGTTACAAGTATTTGTATAAATATTTTGTTATACAAGTGTACAATTGTAACACTGAATCGTCCAAAGCGAGTGAGAAAGCTCATAACTCTTGAAACTAAGAAAGAAATAAAAAAGAAACGTGAGGATGGAACAAGCATTGCGAAACATAGTGATGAGTATGGGATGGCTAAATCGACTACAGTGAACCCTCATTTTACGCGGTTAATTCAACCCACGGCGGCCCGCGTAAAGTGAGAAACGCATAAAGTGAACAACATAACATCTGGGATTAATTGAAATAGAGACCAGGCCGACCCCCAAACTCCACTTTTTCAGACACAATACCTACGTTGTAGTAAAAATAACTTCTTAATTTTATGATGGTATGCACACACAATTAATAATTAAGAGAAATATCAATAATATTAGGTTTTTTAACACTTACATTAGTAGAAAAGATGGCTGGGCACACGGGGATGGGGGGTTGGTTCCGAGGCAGAGGGCAGATTATTGGCCCTCACCTGTATCACTTGTATCACTATCCACCACAGAGGCTTGCAGGGCCTCTTTGTCAAACCCCTCAAAGTCCATATAAGTCCATATCCTCACTATCATCATCACTGACTTGGGCCGGCTGTGGTGGGTGAAGAACTCGGTAATGTTTTGATGACTGGGCGACCTTGTGCGCACCCTGCTCACGCCGCTCTCCGCGTAAAAGGGTACACACACCGCGGAAAATGAGCATTCCGGTTTCGGCAGGGTACCGCGTAAACGTGGAAACGCGTAAAGTGGGACCATGTAAAGCGAGGGTTGACTGTATATGTACGATTTTAAAGAATAAAGAGGAGTTGAAAACTGTGCAAGTGGCTAAGGGAATCTCTAGACTTAGCAAAGCAAGGTGTAATGTGATTGAGGAGACGGAAAATTTACTCTTAGTGTGGATAAAAGAGAAAGAAATGGCAGGTGATAGCATTAGTGAAGCTATAATTTGTGAGAAGGCCAGACAATTGTTTGAGGACCTTAAAGCCAAGACTCCCAGTTCAAGTGATAGTGATGTGCCAGTGTTTAGGGGTACCAAGGGGTGGTTTACTGGTTTCAGAAGGAGAAATAAATTACAGTGTTGTGAGACATGGTGATGCTGCTAGTGCAGATAAGGAAGCAGCTAAGGAACACCATGAAATTTTTTTAATGTGATTAAAGAAGGAGGCTTTGTTTCTCAGCAGGTATTCAACTGTGATGAAACTGGACTTTTTTGGAAAAAAAAATGCCTCGCCGTACATACCAAGGAGGAAACTTCTGTCCCTGGCCATAAGCCAATGAAAGACAGGCTTGCCCTCCTTTGTGCTAATGCTTCTGGTGACTGCAAAATAAAGCCCCAGAGCTTTCAAAAACATTAGGAAGACCAGCCTTGGTGTTATGTGGCGGTCAAATCCAAAGGCTTGGGTGACCAGGAATTTATTCTCTGAGTGGGTGATTGAGGTGTTTGGACCCAGTGTTCGGGAATACCTCAGGGAGAATAATCTTCCACTGAAAGCTTTGTTGATGGACAATGCACCAGCCCACCCTCCTAATTTGATGGTTGAATTGCCAGAGGAGTTCAACTTCATCACTGTGCACTTCTTGCCACCCAACACAACACCTCATCCAGCCCATGGATCAACAGGTAATTTCTAACTTTAAGAAGCTGTACACAAAAGCACTGTTTAGAAAATGTTTTGCGTCCACTTCTTCCAGTGATGTTAGTTTGAAGGAATTTTGGAAGAGTCACTTCAATATAGCAATGCTGTTTTTTTAATTACCTCAGCCTGGAAAGAGGTTACTGTGAGGTGTCTTTGTGCTGCTTGGAGGCCATTGTGGCGTGAATGTGTGCTTCAAAGAGACTTTGAAGGCTTCGAAGAGTTAGAAGAGGAGGCTGTTGTTCATGAAATTGTGTCACTGGGCAATTCCATGGGCCTGGAAGTGGATGATGTTGAGGAGTTGGTGGAAGAGCACAGTAAGGAACTGTCCACTGAGGAGCTGTTTGAGCTTCACAAAGAAGAAAACGAGACACTGAAGCGGAGCTTAACTTCTGAGGAGTCAGGGGAGGATGAGGACAAGGAGGAAAGCAGCATCATTCCAGCCAAAGATCTCAAGGATGCGTTCTTTTGCTGGAGCAAACTGTCTAAGCTTGCTGAGGATTATCATCCTGATGTTGGTTCTGTGGAAAAGGCCATCAGTGTGTTTAATGACAATGTTATGAACTACTTTTGGAAGGTCCAGAAATCAAGGTTGAAGCTGCCAACCCTGGATTCCTTCTTTAAAAAAGTAACAAAAGAACCTACAGACAAAGTGCCTTAAGACAGTCACCAAAGAGGGCTAGGAAGGATGACTCCTCTCCTTCCACCTCTTCTCCATAATTCTCTCCTCCCCCCTCCCCCTCTGCCTCCTGTCCTGCATGCTGAACAACACTAAGGTAAGATAAAGTACCGCATTTTTTACATTTTCCACAGAATTTTTTCCAGTGTTAAGTGGTTGTATTTGGGGGCCTGGAACGGATTAATCCTATAACAAACGAATGCTATAACGAACGAGGTTCTAGAACCAATTAGATTCGTTATAGCATACCCCACTGTACTTTATATTGGTGAAATAAACAATAAGATATGAGTAATAATAATGCTGGTAAAAAAAATAAAAAATACCTAGAATATTTTCAAAATTGTTCACTCTCTCTTCAGGATTTGCCATTATTTTAATATATTTTTGTTTCATTATTCCATTAATTAGTATAAGTGTCATTGTATGTTATGGTAGTTTTAGAATTTTGCTCGAATATATGGTTTGGCTATAAGCAATTTTAGAAAACAACAATTCCAACCCCATGTGGTGTACTGTTCTGGATTGTAACGTACTACACATATACATCTTTGTAATATTGTAACGGGATTGAATGTTACTACCGTATAAAAGAGCCAAAATATCCTGAAATATAACAGCAATCACTTTGTAATCAGCTATAAAACACTTCACAACACTTTACAGAAGGGCATTATGGCACATTTTACACACATGACTGTTACAAATTTGAATACTGTAAGTAAAATATTAAAAAAATTAAATAAATGAATTCTTTACAGGATAATGTTACTGCATAATGGACAGCTCAAGTGTGTGGGGTGGTTATCAAGATAAAATTTAAAGGGCTCACTCAACCTTCTAGCTTCACTGCCAGGAAAGCACTGATATCAGCGTGATATGGACTGTTGCCAAGTAACCAATTAGAGATAGATTACCACAAAGAGAGGAGGCCTACTAGAATGAAGCGCCAAAATCTCAAGCGTCAATCGGAATTATTTTATTTTTAATTAATTTTTTCTCTTGGATGGTGAGTTGGGGCGTCTTTACAAATTGGACAAGATTATCATTGAAGCCTATTGTATGTGAGTCCCAGTGTGCGAATGTTAATAACAATTTCCCTAAATCAGCAATCATTAAACTTTACAAGACTAAAGACTCGTGAACACATTTTACCACCTCAGGAAATAAAGACATTATACAGTATTACTATACTACATTACATTACATCAACAATAACCACAACATAACACAACACTGTTGTCAAAAACAGTGATGAGTATTTTTCCTTACCTCTAAGAACTTTTTCTTCATAACAGCGGTAAAAGTCCCATATCCTAACTGTTCCGTCATCTGAGCCAGTGGCAAACTTCTGGTCACTTGGGGAAAAACTGTGAAAAGACATTTGTGGAAACGATACACTTATGCACAACATGTGTGTCTGTTGGTGTTGGAGTAGGAGTATGGCTGCAGGGTATTTAAGAAAAAACAGAAAAAATCTAGTCAAAAGCAACAATTCATATCGGGCAATCCAAATATGCACAACTGCAATCCCAAGGATACATGTGCTTAGTAAGAGTCCTTAAAGTTTTAATATTTGTATTTCGATATTTATTATCTTAATAAATGCAACAGCACCTAGTGCTTAAGCCCCCTTTTCTATAAAATATAATTTAAACTCATTTATTGCATGATCCTATAACATAAAATTTGCAAAAAAGTTTTTTTTCAGCGTCTTGCTGCCAGGAACTGTTAAATTTGACAATTCAAGGAAAACCTATTCATTCTTAAACGTCTAATATAAATAAACTAGAATTAAACCTTCTCTTGAAATATAAATCGAAGATCATCTTGCATTAATGTACTAGTAGATTTATTTTTACACTGAAAAAAAGGTTTCTAATATTATTAAAATGCAAGTACAGTATACATTTCTGTGAGCTTATATAACTTGTTCAAACATCTAATCTACTGGTACCTAAGAATCAATTAGCTCTATACGAAACTAGTAACTTCACTATACTGTATTGTGTTTAAAACTTTTGGTGGCATATGTTCCGTAAAATAAGAAGCATCCATTGCAAAATTTTCTGTGAATCCACTGAATATTTTCATAACGATCAAGGCGAGACTTCCTCCTCTTTGTATTGGTCTTCGTCTTACAATATATTTCTGTTTCTGTGCGTGAATTACGTGCTAATTTAGCGTGATACTAAAGAATTATAGGTGAATAAAAACAGGCCTCTGGGGGTGACAGACTGACCAATGACGGGTTCATCTGCCACAACCCAGGTGAGCCTATAGGGCATGTTCACCTATTTTATTGAAGTCATTATGTTTACAAGGAATTTACAATAACAGTAATCACAAAACTGATCACAATTGGCAGATGGCTTGTGCGATGGATAAGGATGGATGAACTTTATTGGGTTATGCCGATGAAAAGATTACAAAAGGAACAATTCTTGGTGTGCAGAAGTCTTCTACAAAACTTTACAAAAGTATCTCTTGAAGGTAGGGTATATATATATATTTGCTTTTATTGTATATTACACAAAAAATTACATCACACTTATTTAGTATTGCACAATGAATTCAGTGGTTTCCTACAGACAATGAAATAAGCGTAGTATGTGGAATATACATATACAAGTATATATATATATATATATATATATATATATATATATATATATATATATATATATATATATATATATATATATATATATATATATATATATATATATATATATATATATATATATATATATATATATATATATATATATATATATATATATATATATATATACACACCAATCACCAACATTCCAAAAACCCAGAAGTACTACTGTGTCATTAGGGAGAGTAGGTTATTCTTTATTTAATCACTAGTAATACTAGTAATGTATAAACTCAGAAAATTTTCTTCCTACATCAATATGATAAAGGTAAATCTTTATTGTCTTTTTCAAAATATCCACATATTACAAAATATGCTAAATACACTTGTCTAACCAACCTATATTTCTTAACAGTACTTAAATCACTTGTAAATACTTAATTCTGATGCCTAGTCCTTTCCCTATCAATTGTCTGGTAGTTCAGAGACAAAGGTGGATTGAATTACCTTTGGCTAGTAGTAAACGGGAAGGTTGAAAATAAAAAGATAAATCCAAGGGTTAAGACGTTATGAAAAATTTCAAATGCCAGTACTGTACTGTACTGTATATATAAAATGGAAATTATTTTAAGGTTACTTGAAATAATAAGAAATCTTATTGCACTATGATATGTGTGATAGGTACTTAGTCCTCATGCTAAACAAGTAAATGACTGATATCACTTCCTTACCCTCATACCTAAATAAGTGACTAAAATAAACTGAATTTGTTAAAAACTTAATAACAATGCTAACACAAATTAGGTGATTAACAAAGAATAAGCTACAATGACACACAAAAATAAGATAGAACATAAGAAACAGCATCCACATAAGTAAAAGTAAAAAGACCAGTAAAAGGCCAAAACCATAGATATAAAATAATTTCTGAGCGAGAATGAAGGTAATGTGGAATTTTCCAAGAATAAACTGAAGTTTCAAAAAATATTTAGGGATGCCGTTAATTATAAAATTGTGGAGTAATTGCTTCAAACCATGATATAGTATGAATAGTGAGGAGGAAAACTGAGTACCCACGCAATAATTTATCAAAATAGGAAAAGTTTTGAAAATTATTTGTGCCAATGACAGTGTAAAAGCAATGACCACTGAGAGTGAAATGTTGTAGCTACAAATGGTGATAAAAGATTTTTGATAAGAAATATTGTTGAGTGAAGAGATCGGGCAAATGGAACAGATAATTACGAAAAAAAGACGGTGACATAAGGTTATGGGTTGGGAGTACCTGAGGCCACGCACGGGATCCTTATGGGCCTGGAAGAGCTTCACATTGTTCATGTTCGTCTGCCAGTATTTGACAAAACCGCCAGTGTCACCAGTCACCATCCACTGGTCGTTGTGTGACCACACCATCGTCCGCACACTACTATCATGCGCCTGTTAGGAAATTGGTACATAGCACCAAAAAGTTTTTTGTTACTTTTCAATAGTTCATAGCTTACTCCTAAAAATAGTTATCTTTTTAATGCACACCTGAGATGGGATGAGTTGGGAATAATACATAAGGTATAGCACAGTATGCAGTACTGTACTAGGAGTAAGGACAAACAAATTTTCTTAAGAGGAGAGTCCAGATGAAAATCGGAAAATTACGAAAAAAACAAAAAAAATCCTGGGGAAAGCTGTTGCCTATGGCTATATACTAATGTATTTCTATTGCATAATTCGTAATATTTATGTAGCTATGCACGATTGCTTTACCCACCTTCATTGAGAGGACCCTTCTGTTTACATCGGAAAAGCTGTAGAAAAGTATGTGGTCCCTCGGTTAACGAACGGTTCGATTAATGAAATTTTTGTTCACGAATTACCTCCCATAAGGATCTTCAATTCAGTTAACGAACAAAACTTCGATTAACAAAATCCTTTCGACAAACACGTTTTGTTGTGAGCATCAGCTGATCAGCTGATGGGCTAGTCTGCCAATTCAGTAATCTGTTCTATGTTTACATTCATTTCCAGTGGATTAAATATCAAGAAAGTTGTGCTCTTTAATATTTTTTGCAGTTTTTATATTAAAATTATTAGTCATTTTAAAATTTAGTTAACATATTGATAATATATGCAGTACAGGGAACTAGTTTTTTGTGCACCCATGAGCCGCTTGACCCACCCACCAGACGTCAGTTTGGCTTTGTTTACAGTGGAGTGAACATCAATTTTGTTAGTGTCTTGAATATTTTTGCAGTTTTACATTAAAAATATTGGTCATTCTGAAATTTAGTTAACATAATGATAATATATAGTGCAGTGCAGTGTTGATTTAGATAAAATAATCTTGAATTACACCTTGTTAACTTAAAATTTTATTGGTGAAATTACTGCATCAAGCATGGGACCCCTGCATGGTGATTTCTCCTCCATCCCCACTTCCTTCTCTTCTCCCTTCTCCTCCACCCCCACTTCTAATTCCCATCATCATCATCAACCAGGAACCTTCTACATACACACCTCAAAGTAAGTGTACTTTACTGTATTTTTTTTTTTTTTTACTTTGTATGTACTTTTCTGTGAGCTGGAACCAATTACCCAATACAGTATCCCATTGAAACAATGGATTCGGTTAACAAAATTTTTGGTTAACGAACGACTCTGTGGAACGAATTGTGTTCGTTAACCGAGGGACCACTGTATTTATAATAATATTTTGGTGTAAAGTAATACCAATCACTTGGTAAAAATCACAATCTGGCACCTTTCTCAGCAAGCTAACCAAGGGAGACGGTCGTCTCGACAGTCAGTGACCCATCAAACACGTGATAGTGAGGTACGATTATGAGTTGCTCTAATGCCACCTTTATCAGCCCATATCTCAGAACAAGTTTTACCAACTTTCAAATCCCTAAGGCTCTGTCATTTATAGGCCGATTCTAATAAAATAAAAACTAAGTAGTAGAATAATATACTGTGCATCGTGTAACATATAGATTTTCTTTATATTTGGCTTAGTTTATTATTTGCTGATTTCTTTATAAATATTTTTAGGAAAAAATGGTAAGTTAGGAAAAACATTCAGACACCCAATGCAAAAGCGATAATAACAAATATCTATATGTTACATTCAAGAAGAGTAAATTACCTATATTCCACATGAATTTCAACATAATTTAGCAAGACGTTATGGAGAAGTAGGATTTTGAAAATTTATAAGAATATGAGGGAAAAATCAGATATTAGGGATTAGATAGAACCGATTCAGGGATATAGTAACAGTGTATCTGGTGTCCTCAATGGCTGACAGGAAATTGATATTGATTGATCAATTATTAAAGAAGTTCGTACTTCAGCCGGACCCTCCCCGAAAAAGTGATACTGTACAGTAAAAATCAGCTAAAATTTTATTTGTACCTGTATAGTTCTATGGACTAATTCTCTTAAGACAAAATAAATAAAGACAAGAAATTATGAATAAAACTGGTAATGAACAGCACTTTGGTTGTCTCTAATACTTCAAGGAAGCTCAATGTACTGTATACTGTGCATTATCAAAAAGAACAAATCTTATAACTTTCTGACAATAAAAGATAATTGGGTCATGTGCACACAACTGGGTTATCAGTAGTGTATAAATGATGAACTGATTTTGGAAATTCCATTTTATGACAAGTGATATGGAGATTCATTGATGATATCCACCCAGCCTATAGTTTCACAATAAAGGCTAACCTTAGATCATTCAAACCATAAGTAATACAGGTAAACCTCTATTTGCGATGGGGTCAGGTTCCCGAAAACTTAATCGCAGGTCGAAATATTGTAAATCAGGTTCGTTATAACATGGGGTTTAATGGGAATATGTTCCTGGCCAGTTGGACACCCATCATTTTACATCTGGAGAATGCACAAACAGGTCTCACCATCTAACAGTGTGCAGGTAATTTGAATGAGCACTTACTGACTGCTGACACCTTTTCATTGCCTAAGGTAAATGTGATAAATTATAACCTTCCAAATTTACATATCACAGACTACAGGTAGTAGGGGACACCCACATTGGAAATCAAATATGATTGACAATAGACCAAAAAAAAAAGTCTGAATATGCAAGCTACTGTACCACCAAGACTTGCTTAGTATGCAACTGCCTGTCGCACCTCTCTACAATGACTAGGGTTGAAATGGAAGAGAAGTACTAATTGTTTAAATTAGTGCCGGCAATCAAATTTGATGCTTTGTTGGGGAATGGGACTACCAACACAAAGTGTATCTGTCACACAAGTAACAACAAATGAACGACAATGAATGGAGGGAGAATTAGTGTGTATACAGTACATGTACAGCAGAGCATTGCCGTTCACATATTTGCCCTTTAGTGATGGATTTAATGCTAACACAGTTTGCTGATTGTGATCAAAGTGCTTGACTATTCATGGGCTGGTACAAGGGAAAGATACAGAACACCACGAGTTAATCATCAACTTATCCACTGACTACCTACCCCTCCCCCCTCTCTCCTTTTCTTTTCTGTTTCTCTTTTGCAGGGTATTATTACTGTTCCTTCATTCTGTGAAAATACGGGTCATTGAAAAAGAATGGTCATGTCATATGATCTGGCTTTTGATGATCCCTGTACTTTATGTAAGAAAGTTCTGGCCACAAAGTTTATTTGTAAACATTCAGAGTTAAGTTTTCTGTCTTCTATGGTTAGTTTATAAAGAAAATTGAGAAAAAATAATCGACAGGTTTTCAAAGAGTTTTAATGTTGAAATATGGCTCAAAATTAAAAAAAATAAATAAATAAAAAATAACCTAGAATCTAACACCAAGCAATGTTCAGGCATGTGTAAGATTGTCCGTGACAAAAAATTTTAAACTACGATTTAATGAACTCCAAAAGAAATTCCTATTGTAAAGATCCTATTATATTACCCTGTATAATGAATTATGTTTTCTCTTTGACTGTTACCCATTGAGGTACCTGATGGCCTTTTTTGGCATTGTTGGAGTGGAGAACATCAAGAATTACAAAGTAAATAACAATTAACACAAGGTAGTGGATGAGAGATCATGTGGATCAAGTCGGGTCTGGCCATGTATACCCCGGTAATTTGTGCCGGTTTGGCTTGGGCCTACAGCATTGGATGGCTTAGCACATGCAAAACGGTTAAGAAAGTATGGTTTCCTTACAACTGGATTTTATATGTTTAACTTGTCACTTATTGTAAATATAAAATATTTTAGCTTCATTAATGTACAGTATAGATAATATAGGGTTTTATGAGCTGGCTTAGGAACCTACCCACTAATTACAGAACTGTACTATAAATATAACAAGAAACGGATTCCCGAATTCCAAAAAAAAGACTTTTGAATTAAATTTTGAAAGAGTCTTTTTATAACACCACTCTTTATCAGGAAAATATACTTTATTGTCTCTTCTTAATAACCTTTTCTCGGGAAAATAAACAGCACAAAAAACACAGCAAAAACATGCTAATTAAGAGTACAGCTTGGCAAAAAAGGGTAAATGTTTATATTTGAAGTCCCTGACCCTATTATTCCCCATTTCTACTCCTTTAAGTTTGTGCTCTGCTGATTTGTGATTCACAGGAATTTTCAAGAGTGTATCCCCTGCAAACGACAAGGCCCTACTGTATTTATTGTTGTTTCTGGCTACCTCACACAATATGGAAAAATGCTTGAAGGCAAAAAATCAAATGCCTTTGGAGTTACTGAAAAGCAACTAATAAAAAAATTCAATCCAAAACAAGGTAACAAGGTCATCAATGACGAGATGAATACTGGAATATTACACTAGCTCTTCTGCACAGTGTGTGGATGTGCTAAGATTAACATGTTGAACTATGAAAAATAAACTTACCTGTAATATAGTTTCAAAGTTGAAGGTAAGACCATTCCATAAAGTGAACTCCCCTGATGAAGCTCCTGTCACCAGGCGACGACCCTCAGGTGTCCAGGCCAAACAAAAGATTGGACACTGGAAATTAAATAAACATGTGTTGGTGTTCAAGGTATAAACAAGTTCCCTGATTACAATTGTAGTTAAAATTTTAACTTTAAACCTGCGAGGTATGTCAGGAACAATAGTGCACAAAAACTT